CTGGCAACCCTAGTGTCCCACTCTCATAGCATCTTCCACACATGTATCTCAAAGAACGCCAGCTTGGCGGGGCTCCCATCAAAGGTTGCCTCCAGGGCATCTCGGGGCTGTTCGCGCTCCGTGCTGACCTTATGAGGAAGAGGGGCCAGCCGGGGAGGTGGTTCGGTCTTGTCACCTTTCCCCTCTTCTTCCTCTTCTGACGTCTCGGATACTTCCTTCTCCATCAGTTCCTTCACCAACTTGGGTAGATTCTTCATGAGATACTGGAAGTTTAGCTCCTTCAGGTCGGAGTGTAAACTGGAATGAGCCTTGTCCGCAGATGAATCTTCTCCCATTCCTCTCACATTCTGCCCAATTTGGGGTCATCTTGGAAGGTGTGCAAAACATGGCATCATTCATGCTCGCTCTGCCCTCTGGCTCCCTAGAATCCCAGGGTGCCTCCCAACCAGGCTGGATCATCCCAGTGATCAGGAGGCTGGAAAATGACTTGCTTCTTGAGGTGCAAACCTGTGCCCTTGGCTGTCTTCTTCTTCTGGGGGTCAGGCACCAGGTTCTCGGGTTCAGACCCGGTGCTAGTGCCTGCAATGCCATCTCCATTGCCATTCCCCATTTCCTTTAGAATGGGAGCCAGGTGGGAGAATAAGGGAGTCCTAACAATCTGTCAGTCAAATCACTCTCCACATGCACTTTCTTTAGTGAATGTTTTATTTAGAGATATGAGATGCTGTAGGTTCAAATGCTTTGTTAGGACTGATTTGCAAGGCGGGAAACACAAGGTATAGTTACATCCCCAAGTTCCATGCATTCAACATCAGCATTACTACCGTGGTTCTGAAAGATATACAACCACTATCTAGCCTGACACAGACTTTACTTCAAGGACGTTTCTCATGTGAAAGATGTCTTGAGGCCTCCTAGAATAGTTACCAAAGCTAGCCTCCCTAAATTACTACAGATACTCACTCCCCCCCCCAGGAATGCAATGGCAGCGAGAGCAGCGATAAGGGAATAAAGAGAAAGCTAAACATATATTGGGGTGCACGGGAAGCAAGCAGAATACATCAGGTTAAAATGTAGCAGATAAAAATACAACAGGTACAGCTGCTCAAATGCCCGAGTCTGACAGTCTGATCTGTAGGTGTCTTATGCATCAAAAACTGCAACACATATATAATGTAATAGTCCACATATTAAATTATTTTTTAATTCAGATGCAATTATATGCTCTTCCCAGAAATATATAATTCATTCATCTTGTTCTTCTGTTGTCATATTATGTTACCACTTTTCTAACCAAATTAAAATGCCATAAAAGTTTATATAATGTTATAAACTATTAAAACTGTAGTGGGATTTATATTTCCCATTGCTTTCAGTGAGAAATATTTAAGCATGTATTTTCCCATAAAAATAAATGGGCCTCCAAAGGGCTTTTGCTAGATTGCTAATGATTATGCAAATACATTAGTTGCTTGATATGATATGATATCTATCTTATTCTCACAGTTGGCAGAAAACAGATGGATTTGCTCTGTTACAATTTTAGGCTAGACAGTGTGGCTAAAAACAGAGTAGGGGAGGGAAAGTACATAAGAACATAAGAGAAGCCAATGTTGGATCAGGCCAATGGCCCATCCAGTCCAACACTCTGTCACACAGTGGCCAAAAATACCAGGTGCCATCAGGAGGTCCAGCAGTTGGGCCAGGACATTAGAAGCCCAGTGGGGTCAGGACACTAGAAGCCCTCCCACTGCTTATACAACCAAAGTATAGAGAAAGGAGAGGTAGGATGTCAGAATGAGGAAGTTGGATCCCAGTGTTGGATTTAAGCCCAAATGGAACACATTTGTATAAAGGATATAATATTTATCATGGTGACTGAAAAAAGAAATTGTTAACCTGAAATGTAAGAATTCTTTAGGAATAAACCTAAGTAAACAATAACACCAGAGTCGTTTTGCACCATTCAAACAAACATTGAGACTAAGAAACAAAAAGGGAGTTCTGTCAACTCAGGACCCATATTTTCCATTCATCCTCCATAACTATCATGTTGTATCAGGTTTTCTTGGTGCATATTTCTGAACAAAGGTGAGGATTCTGCCCTACAGATTCACGCATGGTCCCTTATATGGTGTACAAATCTGTGATTTCAAAAAAGAACATTGGTGCAGACAGAACTAAAGCAGTTTTTCGAAAGGGTGAAAAGTATGGTCTAGCAGCAGATGGCTGAAAGGGTAGGCAAGGGCCTACAGTAACAATCTCATGAAAAATCTGAATCAGCCACAAGTGGGAGCCAATTTCAAAGCTTTTATAGAAGTTGCTTTCACACACACTTATGAGTTTGCTTCTTATTTGATTTGTGGCAGATTTCCTGCCATGATTTTCTTTTTAAAAGATATCCCAACAAGTGGTTAAACATTTACAACATCTACTTGCATGTATCATTCCAGTCAGCGTATGAAAGCACACTTTGGAGAAATACATTTTAATCTGGAGGTTTGTGCTGTACAAAATCCTTCACATTTAGTTTTTAAAGGTTTTTCTTTCTCCTACCAGCCACAGTGTTTAGTCATGCCGGCCACATGACCACGGAACTGTCTTCGGACAGCGCTGGGTTTTTGGCTTTGAAATGGAGATGAGCACCGCAACCCTAGAGTTGGATTTGACTGGCTTTCGAGCAAGGGAACCTTTACCTTTACCTTTTACCAGCCACTACCCAACAGCAGCTGAGCAACCAGACAGGGAATCACAGTCTGCTGTGGACACACAGCTGGGAGGCAGTGAAGTGCTGGTTTCATCCCCCAGCCCTGAGCTGACAGCCAACCATCCTATCTCCTCCAGGATGCCCAGGTCCGCAACAGCAGTGCTGGCTCAGGTGTAGAGGGGATTTACAGTCCATACAGAGGTCTGCCTGTCTCAGTTGCAGAGGAAGGAGAGACATAACCAGAAGAGACATGAAGCAGCTGTTGCAGAGCGTGATGTAGGGCTTGGAGCATATACATTGGAGTACAGGGGAGGAGTTCTTCCGCATGGCTTCAACATGTTCCCCTTGGACGCTGACCTGCCACTGCTGCTGTATCTGACTTGCTTTTTGGAAAACTGAACATGGCCTGCTCAGACAATTCTTGTGTTAACTTCCAGACTCTGTTTATTAAACTCTGGCATCCTGCTTCTGATAGCCAGCTCCAGCTAACTGCCTGAGTTGAAGTTGTGTATGCTGGCACTTGCATGAAGCAGAACAGTAGTTCTCAGAATCACAGGAAATTCCATGGTAAAACCATAAGGTTTCTGGAGATCCCTAGAGCAACCCTATATAGGGATGGGCATAAACGAGGGAACTGAGATCGAAGGCTTGTTCACAAAACACACTGGTTTGTGGCCCTGAAAACCCTGTTGAAAGGGACCGCAGTCGCTTTAAAAGGGTTTGCAGAAAGCCTGAAAAACAGCTGAGGGGGCTGTCTTCTGCAGTCCCTTTAAATCGGGACTGCAAAAGACAGCCCAAAAAACAGCTGCACTGCTACTGGATTCAAATCTAACTGAACCACAGTTAGTGAAGGGGAAGGAAGATATCCATTCATTAGAAGAGGGGGCAGTCTGTCAACCTGTGGGATGCTGTGTACTCACTAGGAACAGAAGAACTTTCAGTGTTACATCAGTGTAAAATATACTACAGACTAAAGAGTGGGCTTGCAGCTGATCAAATATCTCCATTTTTTCTGCTTATGTAATTATAGCTGAAGCTGAAAATAGCCAGAGTTTCCTCCTATTTACTTTTCCCTTTGTGTCAGGGAGTGAGAGGACAAGCCATTCTCAAAAAGAGATTTCATTCATCATTAGCAAACAATCTAACAGAAGAATGGTCAAGTAATAACACTTCTCAAGTAATTGTTGCAATACCTAATGACCGGCTTTGTGGATGCAATCACATATGCAGTTGATCACAGAGTAAAATTGTAATATAGTGATCAGCCTTTATAGCTGAAGGAGAAAAAAAACACATACAATATCCCCACATTTCAACATCATTTTATCTTTTACAGGAACCTTGTTTCACAATGCAATCTACGTGCATGGTCACTGAGATGTAACTTTGTTCTGTGGGGCTTATTCCTAGGCAACCTTCTGCAGGATTGCACTCTAGTCAATTGATTATCTCCTTTTGAACTGACTGATTAAACTGAGCTGAATGTACACATTTCCAAAATTCAGTACAAGCATCTTTTTAGAATAATGGACCCCCACACACACACACTACCCTACCCATCCTTCCTATAGTTAAACAGCTCTTCCTTTGGTGAACTTTGTTGAGTGGATTGGTAGGATACAGGCCCATGAGACCTTATTATTTAATAAATACAACCTCTTTTCTTTGTCATGCCTAAAACCAAATATCCTTAAAAATAAAGTAGTGTGCTCCTAACTTACAGTCCCATGGAATAAAATATTGCCCTCACAAACTAAAATTGGATGTTACCAACGAATCAGCTACTTGTTATAAAAACACTCCTTTAGCTTTCTTTTCAAAACAGGTGACCTTCTATCCTATTCTGAGGATGCCTCTCTACTTTCTTTTGGTAGCCCTTCTGTTCATAACAAAGATGAATCATTATCTTCACCCTGAAGGTACCACTTTGCTTGTACCATTTCAGTTTATTCCACATTTTCACAGATTACATCACAACACTGTAGGGAATGCCTCACAAAAGTCATAACTGAAAGTTGCCAAACCAGGCTCTTTGATAAACTGCCATTAAGTATACTTCCTTGGGTCAGTCACAAGTTCTCTCAGAGCTTTTCTCTCAAGAGCAGTCCTCAAAAGAGCTCTCTCAGCCCCCCCTACCTCACAGGGTGTCTGTTGTAGGGAGGGGAAGGGAAAGGAGATTGTAAACTGCTCTGAGACACTGAATGAAGGGTGGGGTATAAATCCAATCTCTTCTTCTTCTTCTAAATTAGGTCCACTAAAACACAACTTCTTATCTACCTCTCTTGTCAATGGATCATTCCTTGAACAAGTCAATGGTAGATGTTCTTGTATAAAAGACCTGACGAGTTAAGACTAGTTTTACAGCTTTCCTAAACCATCGGTAGGAAAACACATAAATCAAGGGGTTGCAGGCAGAATTGAAATAAGCAAACCAAATAAGAACATCAAACACACTAGGAGGGGTAATAAAATTCACCAGGCTGTCCACCATGGTGTCTATTGTAAAAGGCAGCCAGCACAGGAGATAGATTCCTACAGCTATTCCAAGTGTTTTAGCAGCCTTCCTTTCCCTCTTTGTTGCTCCTAATTGGGTCTGAGACCCAATTATCTTATTCGTGTTATTTATCTGCCTGGCTTGTCTGGTTGCCACAATAAATATCTTGACATACAACCCTATCATTATGAGGCATGGGAAGAAGAAGACTGGGAAGTTTATCCATCCCCAGAGTTTATTGAAGAGCAGCTGGCAGCTACCAATGCAAGGCACGTCCTGTAAGAACTGCTCTAATCCTTCCTCGATTGCTTTGGTATAAAGGAATATGGAAGTATAAACCACAGGCACGCCCCAGCCTATTGCTATATAAATGCAAGCAACCCGGGTGGTGAACTTGGTAGGGTAGAGCAATGGATCACAGATGGCACAGTGGCGGTCAATGGATATAAAGCAGAGGTGGAATATTGAGGTCAAGCAAAAGAGCGTGTCCAGAAAGGTGTGGAACCGGCAGAAGTCTTCCCCAAAGTACCAGCAGCCTTCCACTGAACGGACCATGCTGAAAGGCAGCACTGTTAAGCCTAGGAGGAGATCTGCCAAGGCAAGTGAAAGTAGTAAGAAATTAGTGGGTGTGTGAAGTGTTTTGAAGTGGGAGACAGAAATCACCACCAGCAGGTTCCCTAGTACTGTGAGGAACATCCCCATGGCACAGACTAGGTAGACAGCCAACTGGATTCCAAAGGAGTGTAGAGTTCTGTAGCAAGAGCCATTGATCTCAAAGCATGGTGGGCTTAGAGTTGCACCTTCCACAACAGAGTTCATCCTTCTTTCCCAATTCAGCCTGCATTAAATAGCTCAGATCTGGCGATCTTCATCTGAAAAAGAATGTATCGGGTCACTTAGAAGGTAAAGAAGATGTAATATGTAAAATGATTATCACAGAGCCAGTTTGGTGTAGTTGTTAGGAGCGCGGACTCTAATCTGGGAGAACTTGGTTTGGTTCCCCACTCCTCCACATGCAGCTGCTGGTGTGACCTTGGGTCAGTTACAAGTTCTTTCAGAGCCGTTCTCTCATAAGCAGTTCTTGAAGGAGATTTCTCAGCCCCACCTACCTCACAAGGTGGCTCTTGTGGGGAGGGAAAGGGAAAAGAGATTGTAAACTGCTCTGAGACTGCTTCAGGTATAAATCCAATCTCCTCTTCCTCCTCATCTGGTTGAGTTATGTGAAGTTCAACACACTGATCTAGGAATGGGTGATCATGTACCCTGATGAAGTCCCATTGGCTTTCTATAGAAACCAACTTCTGTTTCCTCTGGAATAATTCATCTGGAATAGTTAGTTTCAGAGAGTGGCCATGTTGGCCTGTAGTAGAACAACTAGATTTGAGTCCAGTAGCACTGACCAAGAAGCTTTTTTGGGGTATAAGCTTTTGAGTGTCAAAGCTCCCTTCATCAGATACCTTTGTCAGATCCGGAATAGTTAGTATCCCTGGTTCTGTTGCCACTATAGTCACGAAAAGAGACCTGCACGGCTCTGAAACTGTGGAAGAAATCCATCTCATGTGCTGCTGGATATTTCTGACTGACAACATGCTCAATATTTTCACTGTCAGATCAGGTCGGCAATATCTGATATGATGGAAGACACTCCCTATATTCCCAATGCCAACATTGCCTTCCGAATAAATATCAGAATATTGGAATTGGTAATGGTGTAGGAGAGGCAGCAGTAGCAGTGAAGAGGAGTGTGTGTACCCCAGCTTGTCTGTGGTGCATTGGCTCTATAAAGTTTAAAGAGGCATTATTTGCAATGGGTAGAGATCTGGCCTCTGCAGTTCAGAAGCCACTTCTACCACCCACTGAAGATTGTCAAAACCAGGCCCTTTTGTGGGAATGGAGTCCCTGGACTTACCTCACAGCCAATCTTAGGGCCACTTATGGCCCCACTGGTCATTCCAAAGCAATACTGCATCTTGCTGAAAGTTCCAGGTCTGCACTGTGCCCCACGAAGGACTCCAGGGCCACATTCTAGCCCCTTTAAGGAGCTGCTGATATAGAGGCAGCTGAGTCTACTCCTCAGAGTCCCATGAAGCTTCTCTGCACTCAGCAGCAGCAGGCTGCAAGTGGGGTGCAGTGCAGCCTGAGAGCTGCTAGTGGGGCTGTAAAAGGCCAAAAGATGGGCTGTGAGGTAAGTCCAGGACTCTGTTCCTAGGTGAGGTCCCTGCTGTGGACAATCTTCAATGAGCACTAGATAGGGATGCCAGCTTCCAGATGGGGCATGAAGATCTCCCAGAATTACAACTGATCCCCATATGACACAGATGAGTTCCCCTGGCAAAATGTCTGCTTTGGAGGGTGGGCTCTATGGCACTGTACCCTGCTGAGGTCCCTTCCCTCCTCAAATCCCACCTTTCCCAGGCTCCAGCCCCAAATCTCCAGGAATTTCCCAACCCAGAGCTGGCAACCCTAGCAGTAGACCTGGCCTCTGAACTCTGGAGGTCAGGTCTACCTCTCATAGAAAATAATGGCCTATTATATTGTAAAGGCCAATGCATTGTGGACCAGCTGGGTGCCAGAGGGAGCTTTCGCACTCTATTCCCTCCCTGCTTCTGCTGTCTTGGGGGGGGGGGGGGGGGGGGGGCTTCAAAAATTACCATTTTAATTTCCTTTAAAATGGTACAATCATGGACTTCACTAAACTGGGGGAATTGTTCCAGTATCTTTCATGACTTCCCAAGACAATAACAATGCTCTTTAATCTTATGTTGGTATCTAGCTGTTTAAAGGCAATCTTTTGCTTGCACTGTGACAACTGCCACAGCATCATGTGATAGAAAAGGAAGGCATTGCTAGACTGACCCACTTGCACATTGGGAAACAATGGGAAAAAACATTTGTTACAGTATATACACTTGAAATCACAAGTACGCATAAGTGGATTCTATGTTGCCTGCATTTCACTCTTCTTGATTTTTAACCAGGGGGATTTCAAAAATCAGTGTGCAACTTGGAGCATGCACAGCTTGCCTTCAGGTCATTTGCATCTCTCCCCCATCTTCTTATATAACCAATATAAGCACAAGCATTGATTTTAAAAACAAAAACCAAAACCCCTGCAAGGAAAGGCATTTTGACATGACTATATGTAGGATCTCAAAAATAGTTTTTTTTTTTTAAAAAAACACATCCCTCAATGTTCTGAGATGGGAAAATATCATACCAAATCATGCAAACTGTTGTATATATATGATTACACCAGGATTGCTTCCTTGTACTGTTTTATCAATGTACAGATGCTCTAGTCTCGAATGACATAGAAAGGGTAGAATGGGAGGACACAACTGAAAACTTCAGCAAGTGGGATGAGGAATAATTTGGAAGTATCTCGAGCCACAGGCTATATTAGAACATGAAGATTTTGAAGTGGGAATCTTTTCCTTTGGTCATGTAGTGAAGAACCTCCTTGTGTGGTTTTCATGTACCACAGAAGCAGAAACTCTGATAGCCAGGAGTTAAATGCAGGGGGGTGAGGCCAGTCTCTGCACCTGACCAAGGAAACAACTTTTGCAGACATTGTATATTTGGAAAGCCATGACAACAGCTGCTGTTCATGTCAAACATGAAGTAAATGTAAGCAGGTACCTTTCTATAAAAAACACTTGTTGATGTGCGTTACCTAAATGTGCATTGAATGGCCTTATTATCTGTTGTAGAGTAAATGTATAAACATAAAACAGATATTATGCTTTTTTGATAGAGACATAATAGTTCATTGTTCAGGAACATCCATGCATATTCACAGAGGAATTTCATTTAACAGTAGCTCAGTTTTTGTGCACATCTTATTAATGAAGATAATAGTTAATTACTTATATGACAAAGAGCACAACAGGGTTTTTTGCAAACCAAGGAGCAATGCTTTCTGAAAAACCTTTTCTACTGTAAGCTGCCAGGGCAAGAAACTGTCTTCTTGTTTTTACTCTTTCAATGCCAGACACACAGATTGCATTGGATGCATGCCATTTACTCAAAATTGTCAATAGCAAGTTCTTAATTTCAGATTCTACAGTTTTTTAAAATGAAGGATCAACTTGTGTCCCTCACATCTAGACATTGTAGCCGTATAAACAGAAAGTATCACAGGCTGAGAATTTCTTGTCCAATACATTTTATAACTAATTGTATGACTATTGACGTACGGACTGGTGTCATTGTTTAATATTTAAACTACTGCTTTACAAAGCAAATAAAGTAGGATGAACAAACTGCACAGTAATATGCGTAGCATTTGTAATGATGGAAAATTCCAAGATCTTTTTGTTGTCTTTTTATCCCCCAAATCCAACAGTCAGCTTGTATCATTTGAAGAGACAAGTTTCTTCCACTGAGACAGAAAAAAACACACATATTTTTTTTAAAAGTTTAGTAAAATGCAAGGGAAGCTGATAAATAGGTCTCTGTTCGGGTTGTAGGAATACTCAGTTCCCTGTATAGGGACTGAAATACCACTACAAAACTCACAGTACACTGGTTTACCTGCTAGAGTCCTCTGCACTGGTCTCCAAGATTCTCTTCTAACAATGCCTTCATTCCAGGTCTGGGAAGTAGAAAAACAACTGATCCGATCCCTTATATAGTTTGAACAAACAGTTGTCTCTAATGAACAGTGTGTTTGAAGGGTGTGGCCACAAAGCATGTATGTTCAACAATAATTCTGCTTGCTTTATAGTCCTGAAGCTCACAAACAGGTCCACTTGATTATTATTTTTTATGTTAACAGCTGGATAATGAATTGGCTATGAATTTCTGCCATGTAATAGATTTAACCTTCCAAACTGTCCTGACTTTATTTCTCTAGTTCAGTGTGTTCTATCTTACCTCTAGGCCTAAATAAGGATTTTGTTATCACTACTTTAACAAGTAAGTGACAACTCTAAGCATTTTAGGATTGTCTTCATTTTTTTGTGCCAGAGCAATGATATGCTTTTAGTATTCAGTGTGAATTTTATCTGCTAAATATCACTTTTAAAATACATTCCGGACATAGACATTGTGTTGGATCCTATGAATCTATCTACTAGAGCAAGAAATATGCTGGCAGAAAAGGCATGAGAGTGGATTTTGGCCACTTTCTCCTCCTCACTGAGGTCACCAATCACTATGCGCATCCCACAGCCCTGGCGTACCCTTTAGAGCATTCACAGGCAGTTGCTGGAAGAAGGGGAAGGTGGAAAGATCAATTTGCACCAGTGCTTTCTGCACATGATACATAGGATCCAACCCATAGCTTAAAATATATACTGCCGGTTACTTCTAGAAAGGCTGGGACTGGACACAGGCTTAGATTTACTTGCTGAAGCACAGTCAGACCTTAAACATGCATGTTTTATCTAAGTCACCATGAAGCTGTGACGGTCAATAAAATGGCTAAGCACAGAGGACAGAGCAAGCTTCCTTAAACAGTTTGGTTCTACTTATAAGAAGCATTTATATGAGAAATGAGAATTTGCTCAGACAGGCAAATAGTTATTTGTATTAGGCATGTTATTTGTATTAGGGATGTCAGCCAGAGAGAGTCAATGCTACAGGGGACTTTCAGATTTGTTACTGCATTCCTGGTACAGATCACAAGAATGCTTCTTTCATTGCAAGGTGCATATGAACAACTAGAACTTGAATGTGGAAATATGATCAAGACAAGAAATACAAAAGAAATTGCAGCAAAAATCAACAATTGCTCTTCTTGGAGCAAAAATCAACAATTGCTCTTCATGACACTCCAGGACTGTTTCGTTTATTTAAAACATTTCAATACCACTTTT